GGCCCTGGAAATAGGATGTATATAATAGGATAGACCCAAGCTATACTATTGATTAATAACCCCAGCCATGTGAATGTTTATTAATCAATAGTCTACATCAATATTGCTTCATGCTTGATTCCAGGGGCATGGAGACCTTTGGACATTGGTGAGCGGAGCGAGCGGACATGAGGCGGAGGATGCTTCGGTCTCTGCGCATCTCCTGGTGGCCAACGCGGTGGCTCGACCGAACCGAAAAGGATAGAACATATTGTTTTTGGAAGGACAAGGGGCCACGTATTTTGCTGTGTTGTTTTGTTGTTTTTGCCGTTTTCACGGCTGCCGCTGGTCTTTGTGTAGTAGTAGTAGTAGTAGTAGTAGTAGTAGTAGTAGTAGTAGTAGTAGTAGTAGTAGTAGTAGTAGTAGTCGTAGTAGTAGTTGTTGTTGTTGGCATTCCCATTTCTTGTTGCCGCTGCACGTTTGACCTACTCGTTTCTTCAACGTTTGGACGTTTTGGCTGGTTTGATGATCGAAGTTCGCTTGGAGAAGAGTTCACGGGACGGAGTTCACGGGTCGGAAATCTCGCAGGCGACATGCCTCACGCAGTTCACGGGATCCAACGACCTGATCTCGACATGCATTTTTGTTTATTAGATCCTTGGGATGGGGCATTTTTGGGGTCCACCGACCTACCTTCTCAGGAAGCAGGAAGCAGCACAATGGATCCACGAATGGGTGTCCAATGGAGATCCCAAAGTAGTGTAGAGTAGTCTTGTGTCGGGCACGCCAGCCATAGATACAAGGAGCCAAAATAGTTTTATAAAGCAAACAGAAAGCAAAACAAAAGCAAAAGTCAAAGCAAACAAAAAAGCAAAAAAATGTAGCTGTGCGTATTTGTCGCTTTTTTTTCACTTTTTTTCGCTTTATTTTCGCATGTTTTTCGCTTATTTTTCGCTGTTTTTTTTTGCTTGCTTTTGTTTTTGCTGTACCCTCCTAGGAAAAAAGCGAAAAAAAACATGCGAAAATAAAGCGAACAAAAATGCGTAAATAAAGCGAAAACAAAAAAAATGAAAAAAAAAGCGAGACATACGCACGGCTACATTTTTTTTGCTGTTTTTTTGCCTATTATTGCGCTTTGTTTTTGCTTTGTTATTTGCTTTTGTTTTGCTTTGTTTTTGCTTTTTGCTTTGTTTTTGCTTTGTTTTTGCATTTTCATTTGCTTTTATTTTGCTTTTTTTTTCTCTTTTTTTTCACAAAAAAAGAAACTATTTGATGGTTGGCCATGTATGGCTGCCATCGCCCAACACAAGAGTAGTCCATTGGACACCAATTGGATGGTCCAGGTATAGATTATTACTATGTTATATATATATATATATTATATATTTATATACTCAATCCTAGGGCATACGAATACTACTACAATATTGGAACGCGACAACTCTTTGAAAGAAACATCACCTGAGATGGTGCCATTCATCTTCAGGTGCGGTCATCTATGGCGCCTTTCCAGTGTCCATCCCTTTGAAGAGCCTGGTTTGTCGATGGTTTGACATGCTGTTCACGGTGAACCCGCCACGAAACCCGGGTTTCAACCCGCCACGTCCTGCGCCGCCACCGTTCTGGATCGAAAAAAAGATCGACAGCTGCGCCCTGAGCAGCGGCCGGGTCCGTCCGGTGCGGCTGAGAAGATGGGTGGCTGTCAAGGTGCGGATGAAATCCTCCCATATCGACCAAGATGGGGCGAAGAGAGAATTGGTGCCAGAAAACGAAGGGAAAACAGTTAGGTTGTGTTTGTTTCCGGATCTTCGGGTGATGGGATGTCGTGTTTTCCTTTCCTCTTTTGAGTTGGTCGCAGGTGCTTTTTGGGGTGGACAATGATCAGAATATATCAGAATCATACAGCAAGAGCTGGATATGACAGGTGACCCGGAGTTGTTTCTGAAAATGGAGCGGGAGGAAGTGCTGCTCTTGGGTGCAGGGTGTAGTCAATGCTGCATTTTACTGCCTGTATATGGGATGGCCGTGTTTGTACCGGGTACATCCACAGAAGAAAGAAGACCTATTGGCAAAACCGAGCTTGTTTGTGATGGAAAGCAGTTACGCACCTGGAAAAAAACCTTAATAACATGTCATTCGAGGCAGGCCGACATGTTGCCGCAGAAAGAATCACAGGTTATGACATTTGTGAAGAAAGCCATTACAGCTGGTGTTGAGGCACCCAGACCACTTTTTTGTGTCGCCAAGAGACTCGATTGGGTCAGAGTGGCTGCTTCCAGTGCAGTTCGACTGGGTCAGCGGAGTGGTGCATGGACCAGATTCAATTCAACGGAGGGTGACTCACAAGTTGGACCACATGGAAAAAGACGACCTGTCTCTAAAGTCCAGTTCGATCCACTTGAACTCAGTACTAGTACTTCGCATCTTTGGGCAGCAGAAGAATAAGAGGCACTGTTTGGTGCAGCTTGACAACCTGAAGGATCTGTCGAGCAGAAGTGTGAGTGTCCTGAAATATGTTGCCTTATCAGGATTTCAACCACCATTGCAGACTCCTGTAGATAGTTCTGCAGCTCGTTCATCGAACGACTTGTTTGGCTCAGCATTGGTCGACCTGAATTCGTTCAGATCAGACATGACGACCTGTCGGCTGTCGGAGAGTCCCTGGGAGCCAAGAACGAAACAACTGGAAGAGGGGTATATAATGGTATATACTATACCAAAATCCGTAAGTCCTTGGTTCTGAGGGAAAAACACGAAGTCAAAAATGGCGACGAGAGAAAAGGCTCACAAAAGAAGCAGGAAGGGAGGGAAGGAAGGAGAGGGGCCAGAAAAGAATGGAATAGATAGAGAAGGGAATGGAGTCGAACCAACCTACCCCAGTTCAGTCTCACTACTTCCCATAGTTTTTGTTGGCTCACTCTTTAGCAGAACTCATCCTACTCTGTCCGGGTGGCATTGACACTGCTGAGAGACACGGTCGCCAGGTAAGCCTGCCGCGGCAGAGGCCAAGGCTGCGCCCAAGAAGCGCGATTCGAGCACCATCAAGAAAGATATCAAGGCCAGATGACTGGGATCTACTATCATATGCCATCATTGTTTTTTTTGGCGTAGGTGGATGACAGCATTCTTGCTTTTTCACAACAGAACACATTTTACCGTGTACAAAAACGTTGAATGGCCATCAACAAAGGCCGTGTCTTATTGGCCGGTATCACTTGGCGGCTTCAGAGAAATCGGTTTGGTTGTTTGCACACGGTTTGCTGAGGATGGGAGAAATGATATCCATATTATTCAGAAGGTACATGCTAAGGCGGTGCATGTCTCCAAGGGCAAGGTGACCAATTTAGAGGACCACAAGTTTATGGTCTGTGACATGTCCATTTCCACGTCGTTTTGAACTAAAACCATGTGGCCATTGTTTAGCAATACGTCCTCAGTCCTCAGCCACTTGACCCAGATAGATCTCGACCTGGGTCACTTCGCATAGGAACGCTTTTCCATCTCTCCAGGATGGTGGCATCGGGTACGCTCAATTCATCATCGAGAATACCGGCAAGATAGCAGATCACTACCAAATGGCCCGGCCCTTGAGAACCGGACCACGTGAACGCCGTTCACGCACCGGACGGGCTTCCGGCAGCGGACGCCGTCCTCACCGTGGGTCGCGCGGACGGTCCAACTGAGTCGTGACATGGGTGCCCACGCCATCTCAGAGCCAAGGATACACAGAAAGAAGGCCATATACAAGCTACAAGCTGCACATGTAGCTAATTGCACGTGTGTCATAAGAAGACCGCATCTTCACTTTCGTCACCCCACCTGTTTGAATATACTGGCTCACAGAAAATTTGTTCGGAGTGGTTTTTGGAGGGTTGCCATAATGGTCACCCCGTGAGATTCTCCAGTGGTGGCCGGTACAGGTGCAAGTCTTGCCCCGGCTGAGCCGTCGGGTGTTGCAGCGTCAGTGTGGGCATTCGCGGATTCCAAGGACAAGAAGAAGCTTGGGGAAGGGTCCTATGGATCCGTCTCCAAAGCAACGAACATCTCTACCAAGGCGCGTTCCGCCCGTTTTTCCGCGTGTTGAAGCTCGCCCGCGGGTTCGGGGTTTGGCTGGATGTCGCGGGTGTTGGTGTCCAAAGGCTTTTGAAAGATCGCATGGAATAGAAAGTACACAGGCTGGATATCACAAGCTTTTTGTATCATCTCGGGTTTGTACTTTGCCACATCAGTCGACAAGAGTGACACATTTTGTGATCATTGGCGATACTGACCACCCACTTGAAGACTCCTGCAAGCTTCCGCAAGCTTACGCAGTTCAAGTCCTGCAAGTGCTGGAAGTGACCGAGGCAATCCGAGCAGTAAAGACCATCTCCAAATCTCAGATGAAAAACATCGAGCGCTTCAAACAGGACCAGCGCTGCATATGTGGGCATATGCGGGCATGCAAATCTCCCACCGTGGACCTTGACCAATCCCTCTAACTGGTCTTGCGGAAACACATGGAAACACTGATTTTCGGACAGGCGAATGTGGTTCTTCCGTTCAGAGGGTACAGATAGCAGATACTGGATGTCCTTAGAATGGAACAGTTCAAGAGAATAGCTGCCATCAAGTTTAAGCATTTAGCTGTTAGGGAGATTGAAACAGACACTTCGTAGCTTTGGTATGATCTTCCAATGTTCAGCATCTAGTTATATGCCACCCAAAAGACGATCTAGGAAGATCTAGGAATATTATGAGAACATACCAGAGCCCCCTAAGGGGTGGTTAATTGATACCCCTTAACCTCTAAGGAGCGATAATTAAACACCCCTTAGGGGGCTATAACATTATATAACAACATATACATACTGTGGCATGTGTACATACTATGTTCTCGAAACAAGCCCACAGGCCAACCATTGTAAAACCACGTACCGGGTAGTCGGACAAAGAAAAAGGGGATCTTCGCGTTCGCTCCATTCCCGCCAGCCTGATGTTCGCACAACAATTCCCTTGCTGGGCATCAGGAGATTGCCATCATGAAGATGATGGACCATCCGAACATCATTAAGCTCTACGAGTCTTTCGAAGATCTTAGGTGAGCGTTTTGGACCGGACCATGATGGTGAGGTGTGGTGTCAGGTGGGAGACCCTGTCTGAAGGAAAAGTGTGACTAAAGAGGATTCTGGGGAACTTCGACTCTTTGGAAGTTGAATATCACGCTTCTCGTAGTCTCAAATGATTAGACAGGCTGTAAGAATCTGTAGGAAGTGCAGCCAGAATTCCACCAGGGTTAGTTGTCTCCCTGCTCAGTCTTTGTCCTCAGGTCAAAGATTCCAGACACCATGTTGAGTCATGGTATCTTTTTAAGCTCCACCACAGTAGACGTATTTAACCGATGATATGAATATATGGTTAGTATGGTTAGTATGTATATATGGCTGAAGTCCTCATAAAACTCCAAACGGCGAACCGGCTTTGCTGCGCAAAAGGGAGGTACCCCCGAGTCGGGCCCTGTGAGAACTGCGAAAGGAGCTCTGTATGGCGAACCGGCTTGGTGTCGGCCCGGTGTCGGCTCAAGGAGTGGCGGACCAGTACATAGTCCGACCAAAAGCTTAAGTGTTTCCTTTTCAAGAAGTGAAAGTGGGATTTGGTGCGTCAAATCCAAAGAGCCGCATGTTCAATCATCTTCAACTGAAGACAGTTCGTGATGGTCAGGCTGCCCGACTTGCTCCCTCCAAGCATGGCCAGTCGGTCGTAACAGACGTCCTATATTTGTATACATATCTATATAGATGTATATGTATATAATATGCTGATTTATATATATATATATACTGTAGATTTCTCTAGGGGTGGTTGCAATATTGTTTTTTTTCAACCTGCATCCAGTGACTGAGCTTTTTCAAGTGAGTTGAAACCACCAACCATATATCTATCTACCTATCTATCTATCCATCTATCTATGAATCTATCTATCCATCTATCCAGGAATCCATCTATCCATCTATCCATCCATCCATCGATCCATCGATCTATCTACCGATCGATCGATCGATCGATGGATCGATCGATTGATCTATCTATCTAACTATCCAATCTATCTATCTATAACTATATAATATATATATATATGCATGTCCCAAGGACATGGGGCACCATGTTTGATGCAAAAGTCTTTCAATATCCAAAAGGGTCCAATAGACAAACTGTACCTTTGGAGGGGGGGCTGCGAGAATTCAGGGTGCTTCAAACTCCGTTTGCTCCAAGTGGTCAAGCCTTTGCACCAACCTGAAGAATGCTGCAGCGTCTTGCAACAGCACAAAACGGCCCGTTCCATCCCCATCAACTCAGTCAACCTCCACTCCGGGCCCCTTCTCCACTCCAGCTATCCCTAATCAAAAACACCTCGGTTCGCCCTGCCCCGCAGAAATATTTACCTCGTCATGGAGCTCTGTGCCGGCGGCGAGCTCTTTGACCGGATCATCGAGTCCGGGCACTTCTCCGAGGAGCGGCACGAACGACCGGGGCGATGCGAGTAAGCGGCGCGACCCACCGTGGGGCGAGGCGAGTTGGGCGCGGCCCATCTGTTCAAACGACACGGGTCGACCCGTGACGCGCGCGAAAGAAGACACAGACACGTGCCGGGCTGACCGATTGCGAAAAAGGGACGGACACAGAACACCAGCGTTGGATGTCAGTGGACATGCTTCTCCTGCTGAGTGGATCCACCTCCTGCCAAACAGGTATTTATACATATTATACATAGTCAGAAGTGGCTCCAAAGACTACAATATTGACTTTGTTTTATTTTCTTAGATGATGTGAGGAATGTGAGGGTAGAACTGGCCTGAGCACTGCATTGCTGAGCAGGTTCAAGCTGCTATTTTGATGCAGCAGATTATTCGCTCCTGGGCAGTAGATGATTCTGATCCACCCTGGGCAGCAGTGTTTCTTTTTTTTAAAATCCGACAGCCCTGGATCGTTAGATCCTCACAAATTACCCACGTCCGAGCATGAGTCGGTATGAGTGACGATCAGCTTCGAAGCAGGGTTGCTTGGTCTCTGGATGAACTACCACTTGCTCAGAGTTGAGCGAATGTCCGGCTCCACAAGGGAATGGCCACTTCAAAACCATTGGGTTTATAGATTTGGTAGGGACACCCCCTCCCAATGGGTTGACCTTCTTCCAGGGTGCCGAGCTGCGAGGTCTTCCTACTCGTACCTTAATAGAAACAAAACCCTCCGAATAATTCAAGCCAAAACAACGAAAGACTCTACGCCAAAACTTCTCAGGTGCCATCTACTACATGCATGAGAACCGGATCGCGCACAGAGACCTGAAACCGGAGAACTTCCTTTTTATGACCAAGGACCGAGGCGTTTTTTGGTTGTTGCTGTAGCGCTCATGTTGGGGCTGATTTGGGGCGAGGCTGAGAGGGAAGGCAGGGCGATTTGAACGGTTTTCTCTTGGTCACACAGATACCGTTGTCTCACTGATTCTTTCTGAGATCTTGGAATATTTTCCACATACAAACAAGTCGGGCAGGTGGAGAACCAGAGGATCTACGGTATTTGACGGTGGGACGGTGGGCAAGAGAAGAGCTCGTTCCGTGGTTCCACCATTCTTCCAAAAGGCAAAGCAAGAACGAGCTCGTTGACCGCGATGTTCCGGGACGGACTCTCTCTCGTGAGGATCCCATTGAGAAAAACTTCTTGAAGATCATCGACTTCGGGCTCTCCTGCAAGTTCATCCCTGAACAGGCACATTACTAGCAGCAAGGACACTAGGATGGAGGCCATCGCTATTAGGTTGGAGGCCATTACTACTAGTAGCAAGAAGCTAATAACTAGCTTGGAGGCCATTGCTATTAGGTTGGAGGCCATTAATACTAGTTGCAAGAAGCTACTGGGTCGGAGGCCATCGCTATTAGGTTGGAGGCCACTACTACTAGTAGCAAGGTAGGAGGGCGTCGCTATTGGGTTGGAGGCCATTACTACTAGTTGCAAGAAGCTACTAGGTAGGAGGCCATGGCTACTAGGTTGGAGGCCATCAGCCTAGTAGCAACAAGCTACTAAACAACTAGTAGCAAGAAGCTACTATTTTCTCAAATGCTGAGGGGTACCTCTCAGTGCGTGAGCAGGGGGCAGGTGGAGAACTCAAAAAAGAAGGGTAGAGGATCACTTCTATTGCTTTTTCTTTGGTTAGGGTCGGTGTCAACCACGAGTGAGAACGTGTCTTCTCGGTGTTTTGGAGTCTTTGGTAAAAGTATAGACGCAGAGACTATGGACAGGGCTAATCCATAGTCTTTACTTGGAGTCTTTGGGACAAACAAACGAGACTCACCAGCCGTCTTTGCCGGTTTCCGCACAGACTTGGTGCAACGCAGTGGTCTGGCAGGCTCTCACCACGAAAGCTGGTACGCCTTACTACGTGGCGCCACAGGCAGGCTACGGGTGTGGGCAAACCTCGGTTTATCGATGTGTGAGGCTGCTCAAAGCAACAGATTGTGCAGACAAAAGATGCAGCATTTCCAAGCAGGTAGCAGGTCAAAGTGATGGAGCAGCATTTCCCAATGTCTTCGTCTTCTTCGTGAGACGTATTTCAAGGGATTCCCAAGGGTGGTTTCCATGGTGCAGGCTTACGATGGGCTATCTTTAGGACCGTGTCACTGTCTACTTATCCTAGTTATAAGTTGTTGTAAGTAGGTTTTAAGATTGTAATTCGTGTCAAGTATGTTTCAAGTAGCTGATAAATAGATTTTACAAGTGGATGGAGGTATCCTATCAATAACAAATGAAGGCTTCCATGTGAATCCGTGTAGCACTCAGAATCATGGCCACTTGGCTGCTCAACTTCGCTACAAAAAGTTCCGTGGTGGGAGGGAGTTCGAGAATCTTGAGTGCTGCAGGGCAGTGTTGTCGGCACATTTGTTGAAAAATGGCCTCAATGCCCGCACTTACTGCAGTATCTAGCATGTACAAGGCCAAGACGCAAGGAACAGAATACTAAATTAAAAAGTCACCAACAACAATGGTTTCAAAATCATTTCTACATACTTGTATCCCCCTAACCTAGCTACTAGCTACAACTACTTGTTCATTTGCTTGTACTTATATGGTAAGCAATATTTTTAGATAAACCTGTGTAAGTGTGTGTGTGTCCTTTGTGTTAAAATAGAACAGATTAAGACACACAAGTTTCAATAAGTAGGACAAGTAGAACCTGTCCTAAAGGTACCCATAGTCTTTCACAGTCTTCCGTCAATTGGTTTCAAGTATACAATATTTGAGAGTCCCTTATATACCTTTATTTTGACGGCCATGAAAACAGAAGTCCCTTACATCGCTTCGAGCCTTCGACCAACCCTACGTTTGACGTGTCTGGAAACACGACGAGCGCGTGCAATTGGTCAGGTGCTCGCAGGGAAGTATGACCAGCAGTGTGACATCTGGAGCTGTGGGGTGATCATGTATGTCAGGGGCCCTGATTGAGCGGATTGAGCGGAAGCGGGGGGGGGTGTGACCCAGCTTTGGGAAAGAGCTGGAGTTGACAAACACATACAAAAAACATGAGATTGTTGAGGGGCATGGTACAGTAATTACCTTTTAGATCCTTTTAGATTGACACATTCAAAAAAGCATCCGTCTACCCTTTTGGGGGGATCTCTACATAGTATACTCTTGCTGCGGACTTGGTTGGCGGACTCTCTTTCAGAGTTGCTTAGTTTTCGAAGCCAGTGCGCCTCCACAAGGACTTGTAATGCTGGTCCTTGGCAACGGAGCATTCCCCACACAAGGAGTTTTGGCCAGCCAAGTGGGTGCAGCAAGACCTGGAACCACTCGACTTGGTGTTCAAGCACTGCCCTGCCAAATAGTCGACCTTCACCAGCATCATTCACCATGAATCCAGAAGATTTGCAGGTTGTGGTTCTGTTTGGAGTGGATTTAGTTTGGCAAGGCTGGAGGTTGGAGGCTTTACAGCCGCAACATGCTTGTCCAATCAAGTGACATTGATTTCACCACGAAACAATATACAAACAAAACTGAAGGTTTCCAGTTCCTCCAGGTTTGCCAGAAGTCTAAACAATCAAACTTGTCGTGTGTTTGTTAGTTGTTGTTGCATTTTTCAGATTGTTTTTACAACTATGGTGTTGTCTCATATAGGTGAACCAAAGTGGCGAGGGCTGTTTTTCTGTTTTTTCAATCAATCACCACCAGTTAGTCAAGAACTATGGGTCAGGTTCCCCACTAACAAGTTCGAATCTGACCAGTGGTCCTTAGATCCTGCTTACTTGGTGGACACTGTTTCGATTTGTTTGGAAGCAAGAATCTCCTGCTATTCGCCGAGGTGCTCCTTTGTGGATACCCGCCCTTTTTTCGGCGAGACAGACGCAGATGTCTTGGCCAAGGTGGACGCAGATGTCTTGGGAGACCAGCGATTGTGGGGAGATCCAAAGACTGTAACAACTATTAAAGCATATCTATACTTAAATAATGTGTATATGATTGTATGTATATATATACACCTATACGGCATGAATTTTGCATTAATCCTTGATTCCTGAGAAAAGGAGATACTGTTGATGGACAAAATCCTGCACCACCTCACCACTTTACCCTGGAAG